CTAAGTGCAAAAGCCTTATTGTCAGACTAGCTATTCCCTAACAAATCTAATCTGCCACATCTGGGAAAGTCAACAGGCATAGGATACTTACATTGTTTGGTTTTTGAAAAAACGAGGTGATAGTTTTTTGTCTCTTCATTGCCTTTATGTGGCATTTACAGTCTATTTTTTGCTCAGTTCAGAAAATCACGGACTCAGCCTCAGTCATAGATTGTATATGATCACTATGGTTACCGGTCCACTCCTACAGGCACGATTGAGGCAGCTACCAGCTCATAGGACCCCGGCGACGTCACTCAGGAGTCGCCGCACACACACAGAGAGAGAGAGAGTGTAAACGTCGGTGGCATGATGGCATTGTGTGTTTATTGACAACAGAACAGCGTGTAGTGAGAACGTGGGTACAAAGTAATGGTGACCGGTGTAGATTATAATTATGTGTCAACCTGCGTCTGCCCCGACCCGATTCTGAAAGCAGCGGCGGGGCGGGACACTACTTTGGCTAATGTACATAGCGAAAACACTGGTTAATCCTCTGTTTTACCAATTTTTGTCGCCTTTCGTAGGGATAGTGAGGGGGGGACGGATCGGGTCACTATAAATCTGGGGGGGTCATGTCCCCCCAGTGCCATCTGCGCCCTTGTGTTAGACCTATCACTTCTGCCACTAAAGATTGCTTTATTAATAATATTGACTAACAAACTAATTACGCAATTAGTTTGCATTGACTTAACATTGAAATCACTCGCGCCAGTCGCTCTATTCGCGTCTGGTGTGAACGCAGCATCAAACCAAGGGCAGGCATGCATATGTTCCAAAAGGGCTCTCGACGCCGTTCAGAACACAGGTTATTTCCTCGGTTGCTCTCTCCTCGCCAGATGACGAAGGTTTTACAAGTTGTTTCTTATTGTTTATTTGCTATTCTGCACCAGGTTAGCCCATCAGTGGGAGCACGGTAACATGTTTAAGTACCTGCAGGATCATACACTCATGTGTAAATGTGTTTTCATGAGGTTTTCAAAAATAAAGCTCTCTTGAGGAAAGTGTACCCATGTGAAAATATATTCATAATTTATAATATTTATATTCAAGTTCATAGATTTGTTATTGATATTGTAGTTGAAAACAGCCCTGTGAGAAATTCATAGTAAAGTTCATAAAAAGTAAAAAGTTCATAGAATTAAAATTGATGGAGAAGGTCAGACTATTTCCTTCAGAAAGACCGTTGGTTAGCTAGCTCATTTAAAATATCTTAACTTTTTTTACCCTGCCTCTTAAAAGAATCGGAATCGAGAATCGTTAGGAACCGGAATCGAAACAAGGAATCGGAATTGGGATCGGAATCGTTCAAATTCAAACGATACCCAACCCTACTCCTACAACATGTTTACATGCATCAAAGTAAAAAAAAAAAAAAAGTTTAACTTCCTCATAATATACATTTGCACATCATCACATTTTCAATGATTCTCAAACGACTCGTCAAAGGAATCAATCCCTCTAAATCCCTCCTTTCCACAAGCTACTCTGTTCTGATTGGCCAGACAGCTCGGTCTGTTGTGATTGGCCTACCGTGTACAGCGCCTCGAGAGAAAAAAACGCCCATTGCCATAACAACGCCAACTCTGCGTGTCCTGAGGCTTCCAACACTGTAAATTAAACACAGTAACGAACAATGACGTCGATTTGACCATATCAATGCGAGCGCGATTTCGATGATGAAACACTGGAAGAGCTGGTTATTCATCCCGAACCTTCATCGCAAGGACGACTCGAGCAGGACGTTTCTCAGTGATACACTACTCAGTCAGTTTGAGATACATTATAAGATGTTGCAACTGTAATTTCTCACCATCAGCATTAACAAGTGCATGTCCATCAACAAACCAATTATTTTACTTGTACTAATTTATTTACAGAGTATTTTTTTATATATATTGCGGTGAACATGTGGAAACTGTTTCATTAACAGTGCATGTATGCAATGTACATTAGCCGAGCTCTAGAGTGAATGATCTGATGTAATATAAACATTGAGGAAATACTTGTTTTATTAAAGTAGTGAAAACGACAGACAATCTGCATTAATTTATAGGTAAAAGTGGCCCACAGCTGATCAGCAGAAGTTTTTCAGTAAGACAGTAATAATGTGAGTTAGCAGGAGACCTACACAATATAAAACTCAAAACTAAGTTTTTTGAACACCATCTTTCAAGAGCAAGCGGTTTGCGAATCCTGCAATAAACTGGCTTTACCTTCACATTATAGAGCACAGCACCGTCTTCTCGACATGATGCTGTCCAGTGTTCACAGGAATCAGCTCCCGGTTTGAGGTTCAAGTTTTTTCCTGGTGTCTGCGCGTGCGGGCTAATGTTTCATCTTCTTGACGTCACAACAAAACGGCTTATGACTCGTTTGAAAAACGATTCATTTAATTGAATCGGAGTCGACTCTTACTTTTGAAAGACAATAACTTAATATACGGTGCACTTTCAGATTTAAAACTTTGCAGGATGTTTTCATTCACTAAGAGTTATGTTACAAACTACATGAAAGGTCATTTTCAAAAATCCATAATATAATAGGGGCCTTTAATATCATTAATTCATCTTTGTCATTAAGATATGTACCAAAACCTTAAGTTGGCTATGATTAAACCGTGTGTTAAAAAAACACAACTTCATCCTACAGAATTAAGTCAATTACAGGCTGATCTCGAATCTACCTTTGTTGTCAAAGACACTAGAAAAGGCAGTATCCTCACAACTATGTTCCTTTTTAGAAAGACAGGGCTCCAGACTAACCTTCTGCCTTGGTTGCACAAGGCTCAGTACTAGGACCGCTGCTGTTCACTCTGTACATGCTACCCTTAGGAGATATCATTAGGAAGCATTGCATTAGTTTTCACTGTTATGCTGATGATACTCAGCTCTATATTTCTTCACGCCCTGACGAAACTTACCAATTCACAAAATTAACGGAATGCATAGCTGATATAAAAAAAAACTGGATGACTAGTAATTTCCTACTACTTCATAAAAAAAAAACAGATTCTAATTATTGGACAAAAAAACTTCCTCACGTACTAACACTTGATGGCTGCTCTGTCAAGTCTTCGTCGTCGGTTAGGAATACCAATATAAAAATATACCTAAATTACGTCATATGCTCTCAATGACAAATGCTGAACAGTTAGTTCATGCGTTCATGACATCAAGGCTAGATTATTGTAATGCTCTACTGGGTGGTTGCCCTGCACGCTTAATAAACAAACTACAGCTAGTTCAAAACCATAGACAGTAAAAGAAATGGACAAAGCGACCCCGTTAATTTCAACGGAGAGAGTTGAAGCCCAACATGGGCACTCACTTACTGATAGCCAAGCGCACTGCGCAGGCTCAAACTGAGCTTGACGACGTAGTTGTCATGTGAGCAACCGTTCTGACCTTCTAGTAGCTGTGCCGAGACAAATCTGAATTGAAATCTGAAACAAATCTGTTGTTGAAATATTTTGTCCCGTTGCTTTTATGAACTCTCTATCTATGGGCTTCTCCCTTGACTTTATGCCTCCAAGTCCACCCGATTGCCTCATAGACAGTGAACGATTGCCTACGAGCTTCTACTTCTGTCTATACGGTAATTTCTCTACTGTGCGACAGAGCGTCCCGTGGTTATGACGCAATCGTTAGCCTATTTTTACAAGAATGGCTTCTACGGGGCCATAACGTAAGATACAAAGTAATGGAGCCTTTTATACATTGTCGTGTTTCTTTAGAAATAAATAATGGACAAATGGAGTCTTTGGACGCCTCAGATGTAAAGTTATTCGCTGTCAAAGTGACGCCAAAATGAATGGGAGTCAATGGGATGCTAACAGCAGGTGATAGCCAGCTACAATGGCGGCCCCCGGAGGCAGCTTCAACTTCCGGCTGATGGATTACCCCCTTGTTCAAAACGCAGCAGCTCGAGTTCTTACCAGAACCAGGAAATATGACCATATTAGCCCGGTTCTGTCAACACTGCATTGGCTCCCTATTAAACATCGTATACATTTTAAAATATTGTTGATTACTTACAAAGCACTAAATGGTTTAGCTCCGCAGTACTTGAGCGAGCTCTTAACGCATTATAGTCCTTCACGTCTATTGCGATCTCAAAATTCCGGCCAGTTGATAATACCTAGAATATCAAAATCGACTGCAGGCGGGAGATCCTTTTCCTATTTAACACCAAAACTTTGGAACAGTCTTCCGATCCACTGTCCGGGAAGCAGACACACTGTCAGTTCAAATCTAGACTAAAAACACATCTCTTTGACCTAGCATACACATAACACATTATAGATTTCTATAATTCCTAATCTATGCATGTTAGGCTGCATAGATTAGGTCAGCCGGAACCGGTAACACTTCCCATAAATCCTGATGTACTCATTACATCATAAGAATGGCGTCTACGCTAATATTAGTCTCTCTGTTTATCCCGAGGTTTACCGCAGTCCGCCGGATTTGTAGAGGTTTTGATCACAAGTTCAGTATGTCCAGTAAGCTCAGTACTAGGACCGTTGCTGTTCACTCTGTATGCGACCCTTGGGAGATATCATGGAAGCATGACATTAGTTTTCACTGTTATGCTGATGCTCCTCAGCTCTATATTTTTACAGCCTGACTAAACATACCAATTCACATAACTAACTGAATGCATAACTGATATAAAAAATTGGAGACACTTAATTTTCTACTACTAAACTGGTAAAAAAGAAGAAGAATCCGATCGGTCTGTGCAGCGCTGCTTCAGGTCGAACACACTTTTTGTCTGGTCATGTAATCTCAACATGTCTGTCCACTTGAGGTGACTCGCACCATGCCAAAATAAAAACACTTTAAAAATTAAAACCCTCACTCATTTGACATTCTTCAAAAAATATCATTAATTTCTGTCGAGCTGGACATTTTAATAAAGATAAAATGACTGTGTTCAGCTTTGAGAATGAAACCAACCTGTTTGTTCCTCAGTTTCTTCTAGTTTCACTCTGAATGTTTCTTCAATCTTCATGTCTTCACTCTCCTCTTTAATAAATCCCGTCTTTGTTTGTTTCTCATCTTCTTGTTTCACTCTGAATGTTTCTTCAATCTTCATGTCTTCACTCTCCTCTTTAATAAACGCCATCTTTATAATACTGTGACGTGGATCTCAGCTGCTTCACCAGGAGTTTTTCTGTGTGTTTGTCCTGTTTAAGATGAGAATAATTAACAGAAAGAAAAATAAACCCAAACTAAATATCAATCAGCTCTAGTTCAGTAGTCAGTGCACTGGTAAGAGAATCAGTGTCAGTCAAAAACACTCAAAACTACCACTACAAATTCATGAACATAAATTACAAAGACTCTTCACATTAAGTTGTGATTTATATTTGTATATTGATTAGAGTGATAGTTAAATGGACCAACTCTGGTCCGATATGCTTAAAACAGAGAAGTTTTTCCTTTGAGTTTTCCGAGTCTATACGCAAGTTTAATTCTTGATCACTGTTATAGTAAGTTATTGATCTAATATTTATTTTCATGGCGCGCCAAAAAAGACAATTTGGCAGCAACTAATAATTAAGTATAAAAACAATTCAATCAGGTAAAGGTACGATGATGTGAATATGCGTCCAACCACATTGGAATGCATCCATCAATGCATCCAACCACATTGGAAATCCTAAAGGAATTTCTAAATATTACGTTACTTCCAGAGGTTGCAGTTATCAAGTTAACGTCATTTATCTGATTCGCCACATTTAAACCGATTTCTACACTGACCTGCAATCCTCTGAAGCTCCTCTTTGATGGCTCTCACAGGTTTGTGCTTAGGAAACAACACAAAAACTGTCAGAAAGAGCATGAGAGCGAGGCAAACTTTCCTTAACACTCTGATACAGTGGCTTTACTAATGTGCTCTGTATCCCCAATGTTACTGTATATAGAAAACTACCATTGTACCAAATGTAACTCTACGAATTAATGCAGCCTCCTCATCTACAGGATCCTGTATAAAAGTCATGCCATTTTTGTCACTTTGACTTTGACGGTGCTTGCATGATGAAAATATGAGCAATGAATGAATGCACTGCAAAAATACTTTTCTTACTTAGTATTTTTGTCTTAAATCAAGATGCATTTTCTACCGAAGAAAAATGACATGGCATTTACTCTTGTTTCCTGAATTTTTATTTTATTTAGCAAATGATCTGCTAATGGGGTATCTTGTTTCCGTTTGCATTAAGAATATTTTTCTTAACCCGCTGGCAGATAATTTGACTTGTTTTAAATAAAGTGCACTTAATTTAGTAACAGACTCAGTAAAAAAAAAGCATTTTTGCAGCGTGAATGACGAATTTAAACTCCGCATAAGCTTTAAAAAGGGGGAGGAGACCGAAAGAAACTCTGGGTTTACCGAAGAAAACCTGCTTCTTCTGACCAGGTTAGGTTCACAGAGTAAATGACCATGTTAACTGACACTGACTCTATAAGTTACTCCTCTTTCAGAAACGGGTTTGTCTTACCCTGGTTTCTCTGGTTTGACATACCTCCCAGAGTTTCCCTCATTTCAGGGTTAACATACTCCATTTCCATTTAAACCTCCTAAAGGCCTCTGATAAAAATAAAAAAGCTAGCAGTACAAATTTATAAAACAAGTTATTCAGACAATTCATATTTAGTTATGAATAATACTTGCTATTTTAATGATTTGTAGATTACATTTAATATATTACACTTTCATAAACACATTTGCAGTTCGTTGTACGTCTTAGTGTTGCTTATCTTGGCGAAAGCAGAGTACAAATCAGCATGAAGTTTTAACATCTACTCTCGTGTAATGGAAATCATGCATTTACACTGTCTTATCCAGCATGTCAACTCAGCGTGCGGTGATTCGAGCGATTCGAATCACTGAATCATTTAAGCATTTGGTTCAATTGACTAAAAAAAGCTCCGTTTAACCGAATTCGTGTTAATGATTAACTGGAGCGAAATGAGACGCGCGTCTGTTACTCGTATGTTGAAGCGCTTTACTCACACAAAAAATACGTTCACTAATGTTTGATAAACCATTTGAATGTTACATACAGGTAAAAACAGGGAAAGTAGTAACATTTAACGGGTTGTATCGATTTAAATGGTTAAAAGTACAAACCTTTCTTCAGCCTAATCACAACAGAAGCAGGAGCGTGGCGCAGCCTTATAGCGTCATATCACCAGGCCAAAATAAGAGTCCTGTCCACACGCTAAATTGTACATATGTATTTATAATCTTCATATTAGACATCATTGTATAAAAATGCAAATAATGACCAAACCACCTGGCTAAAATAAGGGTTAGAGTTCATAGCAAAGTTCATACATCAGTACAGATGCACATATAAAAGTCATGTTTTTCTAATTACATTGTGATTTGAATTTGAACCTAAAAATACCCGATAATGGGTATAAAATATCTAAAAATATGATCTTCCAAGAAACAGTTAAAGATAAATAAATGGCAAGTACAAATGTGATTCATTCAGTACCAAAAAAGTATTGATAAACAGTCTAATTAAAAGTGAGTATTTCTAAGATTTTTTAATGAAAGTAATAAGCCAAGTCTTTAATGTCATTTGAGTTGCAGCATATGTAGAGAGATTCAAATCACTCAGACACAATTTACACCTACTGAACTCCACAGAAAGCTATTTAATTTTTTTTAAATCACATGTTAAAGTAATTATTTTACAGCATATAATGATCTAACATTTACTTCCAATTCACTTAAATTCACGGAAAAGAGGTTGGGTCTTAATTAAATTGGCTTTATGTACAAAGAACTGTACTATTATTATAGTATTATTGACAGATCCGGTCAATTTCTTGTGTGTGAAAATGCCTGAGCAGTGGATTTGAAATATTTGCTCCGAAACTGATGTGAGAAGCATCATCACCGCACGTGATCACCAGTTAAATTATACTGCATTCATGTGGTGTCAGAATAATCTGAAAAATAATTTCCTGATTGAGAAAATTCAAGTGAACGCAGGTTGGAACAACGACACGGAAAGTTGAATAACATGGCATTTGTTTAAGCCACACATAATGGGCGTTCTAATTGGATATTGTAGGGTATCTGGACTGTGTCAGTTGGGACTCATTCAATTCTACATTTAGGAAAGCTTTTAACATGTGACTCCTACCCGTAACTCAGGCCTGGCCCCACAGAGTCTGCGTCAAAATTGCCATTTGACACCTTTACGACATGAGTGTTTACCCAAACACCAATAAACTAGAATTCGCCGAGCTTCAAAAAGACCTTATCGGCCTAACACCCCCTTTCTGCGGAGAAAGGAATGCCAGGCGGCCGAAAGTTCGTTCCTTCATCTAACACACACACACACACACACACACACATGAATCCTTCATTAACCTACTCATATAAAGACTTTACCGAGATATATTTGATTTGTTTTTAAGTGGACCTGCTTGCCCACGTCATAGTGGGATATCTGTGATTTTATCGTAGTATTAAATGAACCATAAGTATGTGTAATTATGCAATAAGCTGTATCTTTGTAATTCCTATGCTTTTCATGTTGATGTTGGGTATCAATGTAAATCTCTCGGTTTGTCTTAGCTGAATCCATATCGTAGATTGTGATGAAATGTATTTTACTATGCTTTATCATCTCTGGAGTAAAATTGAACAAATTTCTGTCACTGTCATAAAACATGCAAAGTAGGCCTCGACAGGACAAAGAAACACTTTGGCCGCGCACTTTTCTCACAGGTGATTGGTTCACTCACGCGAGAGGAGGCGTGAACCGAAATGTCTTAAAGAGACGCGCCAAGCAGCTCTTTGTCTTGTCTCTCTTCCTTCGGCTCCGATATAACTCTTTTGTCTTCGTGATCTCCTCCCAGGAGATCTTTTCTTTTCTTTTGTTTGTTTGTTTAAGTCTTGTAAGTCGAATTCTCCTTTGTTCATTCCTTCTTGCGAGGCAAATGAACTTAGCTGAAACCAGCTGGCAACTGCACCTCAAAAAGGACATTCAAACTCACGCACTCGCTCGCCCCTGAGGAACCGAGCGAACACGTGACGCCAACAGGACCGAAACACACGCCTTCTTCATGTCAGCAACATGAGAGAACCATTTATGCAAGTAAATTTCGTGTTATCGAGCTTTCAGAGCATTAAGATTGTGTTTTTCCATGTTGTCTCTTAAAAGGTTTAAATGTCCAGGTGAATTTTGCCATTCTGTGATCCTTACGGATCTCTCTCTCTCTCTCTCTCTCTCTCTCTCTCTCTCTCTCTCTCTCTCTCTCTCTCTCTCTCTCTCTCTCTCTCTCCCTGTTTCTTACACTTTCAGTGTCTTGTTTTGTCGTTGTGTTATTGTCTGTAAATACATCTTATTCCTTGCAACGTTAGTAACCGTATACGTAGTGTACACCTTTATTAAATACATTATTCATTTGGTTGACTGTCTGTGTTGCTCATATACAAGTCCCTTAAATGTTTCGATCCAAAGCTACGTGCTTTACAAATTTAAAGATACTTTAAATAGTATTTTGTTTATAGAAAAGGAAAGTTAATCCTCGTGGCCAGAGGATAGCTTCTCTTGAAAGTCTATAAAGTAGGATAATTCTGTACGAGTTGATAAAGATCGCGTGATCAGCTTGCTGGACAAACAGATCATCCGATACTGAATTAATTCCATCAGGGGTATCCTTAGAGTTGATATATGATAGACATAATTGATATATTAATATTTAATTATAATTCTTATGATTGAGTATTGATAGTACAATTGAGCTAATTTTAACCTGTCTGTAAAATATGTGTACTAGGGGTGTCGCAATATACCGGTATTGACGATAATCGTGATATTCAAAACATGAAATATCGACATCGTGTCAATTTAGAGTGTGGCGATATACCGGTATTGGTGATAACCACGATATTGAAAATGAATAGGACTGTTATGATAACATGAAACGTAAATACTCCAGCGCCAGTACCTGGTTGACCTGTCAGGTGGCAGTATTGCACCCGCTGACACCTATCAAACAAGAAGAAGACGCAGCGCGCGCCCGCGCCCCGCCCGCTATTCTGAGAAGAACCATGTCGTCTGAGCGAGAGAGTGAAACGCTCTGTCCACATCCGAAAAAAGAAAGCTCGCCAGTATGGGAGTATTTTGGATTCAATGAAAACAGCTCCTTAGACAGCCCAATCTGC